AAAAACAAAAAACAAAAAACAAAAAAAAAAAAACAACAACAACAAAAAAAAACAAACAACAACAACAACTTAAAGATTATTCCACTGAAGTCTCAGTTAAATTAACGATTTTCGTCGCGTCCATGTCCATAATTGAACTCTGAAACTCTTGCCCGGGGCGTGAGCGGTGTGTGCTGAACCCCCTCACAGGTTGAATTTTTGTTTAAACATGTTAGTGAACTCACAAAACAAGAAACGTAAACCACTTCTATACACTGCGAGTCAAATATAATGGCCAAAAATAGAATAAAAAATTTTGAAAAAAAAGCGCGCATTAAGGATTTTTCACGGGTGAGTGACGAGGCATCATCCGATTTACTGGCAACCGCTGTTCATGATCGGCGCCATGCGACCACATCAACTTTCAAGTTTAAAATGGCTTCCTTTTTTAGATTTTCTGAGCTCGAAGAACAAATCTCACTAAAAGCTGGCTTCCCGATTCATGTTCTACGATTTTTGTTATCTTTATTTCTTGGTAAGTCGTACAATACACTCCTAATGTTTACAGTCTGTAGGTCTTCATAAGTTCAAAGTTACAGGTCTTTACGTTTAGTTTATTAATAGTGGGAGCAGTTATACGGTCCTTAGTCTGTAAATTTGACCACCCCCTCAATATTGAATAATCCTAATTAAATATTAAAAACGGGTTTAATATTAAAATACCCCGAAAGCATAACATATATAAACAACAATGAATAAACACTGAGTTGCAAGAAAAGATTTCGTGACTTTACGCTATGAACCTTATGAAGTTAATATTTTTCATGTTTTGAATTTCAAACAGAGTTCCAAAAATGGCTATTCTTTCGTCTCTTTGCCCGTATTTTAAGCTTATTTTGATTCCAAAAAACTATCTTAATTCATTCTAGGTAGCTGTATCTAGGATAAATCTTTCGTTTTTGTTCAAAATAACATATTTGTTGGGTTTTTTGTGTGCCTGCCATATGCATGAGCTACTCAATACGTAACTTGACGACCATCAATGATCTCAGTCACTGCCCTTCAAATTTTAACTTTCTATTTTATTTTGTTCTTATATAAGTTATTCGTAACCTTTCATCATGCTTAAGATACCTGTTTTGTTTACGGATTATTCCATTTTATAATATTTTGATCCCCGTTGTGCTTTGTTGTACAGACAAAGTTTTACAATCAACAGGTTTTCTAGCTAACGATTACAAAGCAAGTCTTTTTTGAAAAACATTACATATTATTTCCCCTCATTAACAAGAGAATTAAATGATTTTCCAATAGCTAAGAGGATTCTGTTTCGGAATATAATCGAAAATGGAAGTAAATAAAGATAAATTTCGCTTTTATTTTGAGTTGAATTGTGCTGATTGACTTATAATAAGGGCTCGCCTCATTGTTTTTTCTCTCGTTAAAAAAAAGAAAAACAAAACAATATAGAGCAAATCTTGGCAACCAGATAAAAATATTTAAAAAAGTATAAAGAAAAAGTAAGCCAATAAGAAAGGCATAACTGAAACTTTAAGTTTAGATCGTTCAAAATGGATAAATTAATAGTCCATATTATAGCCACCTACTCTTAAAATTCATATTTATTTTATTTCTAATTTATATCGTTCTCATAAATTTAAAAAAAAAATTTCTTCCAGCTTATCCACTAGCTTTTCTATATCGTGCTGTCTTCCAGTCAAAATCACCAGCTGTTCAGGTAATTGAAATAAGATCCTTGCAAACTTGAAAGATTTACATATGGTCCCTGCGATGCATATCATATGCATTGGGTGGGGAGGGGTGAGGGGAGTTATGCATATTACGTGGGAAAAGTAAATTTTACGCCACTGGTTCATTTGTCAAATATAATTATTATTCAACTTATCACGTCTGAAGTTTACTCTATGTTTAACATTTTACTTTCTTATAAAGAGATAATAGATAATATTTATATAATATGATTTATTAAATTAAGAGTACATTAGGGAGTTTTAAAGCATTAGCCAAATTTGTATCTCATTCGAGTGCTGTATATTTGACCATGCAGTGAGCCAATTTCATTGTCGAGTTTTATATCATGGGAAACCATGACAACAATGATAACATGAATATCTCTATTTCCCATTTAAACAATTTATTACACTGCTAGTTTTTGTATTAAAGCTGAATAATTTTACTGGTGACACTGTATTTTTTTCTCACTCCTTTGGGGTTTGAAAAAAGAGTTTGCTTTCACTCTCAAAATTATCCGACTTTAGTAAAAATACGCAGGTGATTATAGAAAATCTCGCGCGCTGATTGGTCAAGAAATTCACACTATCACACGATAATCACCTCGAGCGAAAATCCACAATGGTGTCCAGCCGCTTTGTTGCTATTACTGGAAAAAATGCCTTTTATCTTCTTTTTTTCTTCTCCTTTTTTTGAAAGAATCACCTGTGTATTTATACTAAAACAATTATTTGCCTCAGACTCAGTGATCGTTGGGGAATATTTACCTCGCCGCTCGAAGACTCGCGTCTCGGTAAATATTCCCCAATAATCACTGCGCCTTTGGTGAATAACCGTTAAGTAATACACAACTAGCAGTGTAATAATATCTTTATATATGAAATATTCAACAGATGTCAGGTCTCCCCTTTCCCACTTCATTTCAAACTTGGCAATGGATAAATCATATGGCACATCTCAAGCCTCAGAACTTTATGCATCTTTTGCTTTCACAATGCAACTTCATTAATAGTTGTTAGATATATTTCAATATAATTGAAATATTTTTATTATTTTTATTAATTTTTATTATTAAATTATCCTTTTAATTAAAATCATTAACATCTTTCTTCCCCCAGCATATTTTCTTCTCTTGTGTAGGATTATCTTTGTTATATTTTTGCTTTGGTAAGTTAATTCTACTGTGCATGTATAATTTTGCTTGATTAGAATAAAAACTAATTGTTTTTCCCTTTTCAGACCACGTGTCACTCTTTTGAAAATAAATCATTCTTTGATAATGGTCAGCTGTATCCATATTCATGTGCTTAATGAATTCTCATGCATACTGGTCAACTGTTAAACAAAGAAATAACACTATAGGAATGACACATTGCCTGAAATTGGAAAGAGGTCTCACATAATTTAAAATAAAGGCATTAGGAAAATCGTTTTTGGGAGCACCCATGAAAATAGTGATAAATATAGGCTAGCTAGGTAAAGCCACTTGCCTCCCTTCAAGCAGCCAGAGTGCACAGTCCCTAGTTATTAAAGAAGGGTTTTTATTATTTTTTAAATTTTAACGACATCTAATTGCACTGTTCATAAGTACAAGCTCTAGACTAGCTAAAGCTCCTAGCCTCTCTTCATGCAACCAGACTGCACAGTCCCTAGTTATTAAAGAAGGGTTTTTATTATTTTTAAAATTTTAACGACATTTAATTGCACTGTACATAAGTACAAGCTCTAGACTAGCTAAAGCCCCTCGCCTCTCTTCATGCAGCCAGAGTGCACAGTCCCTGGTTATTAAAGAAGGGTTTTTATCATTTTTTAAATTTTAATGACATTTAATTGCACTGTACAAAAGTACAAGCTCTRTTTTATATTATATGGGAAGGTTAACCAATTTCCTCCAGTTTTCCATGGTATATGTCCTCTTATTTTCGTCATCTACCTGTCAAAATGTTGTGGACTCATGAATGAGGCATACTCCAAGGGAGTCCACAACATATTTTGACAGCTAGATGATGAAAAAAGTGGTAAATAAGAGGACATACCATAGAAAACTGGAGCAAATTGCTTTTCTTACAACAGAAAATTAACAATTTTACTTCAAAAACAAGGTTAAAATTTTAAATAAAAACGGTTTCAAGCGCGCACGTGCTTTGTAAATTATTGGTATGTCCTGCTATCTCCCCCGGCTCTAGACCAATCAGAAAGCGAGAAAAATCATAAATGTGGTAAAATAATAATCGGTACGAATGCCATTAATTATAGCTATTACAGCCCATCAGGTTTGAACTGGGCCTGTGGAGAGGGAGAAGCTGTATGTAGTCTGCTAAAGTCTCTCAAATACCCCCTAAATTTTGTTTTGGATTCCAGTTGTTAATTAATATCATTACACAAATTATACAATACGCATTTTTGGGCTAAAATAGAGCAATTTAATAATGTTCATATTTGGACAATACAACTGCTAACTTTAGGGAGGGAGGGTAGGGTGACAACGCGTAGACTACAGAACGACGAACACTGCAATATGAAACACTACACTTAATGTACGTGATCTAGTTACATAGCTATGTCCTTGTGACAGGTAACCGAATCCCTACCGCTCCACTCCCATTAACGTAAGAGTAGGGGATTGTTACCCGATACAACAGTCTGACCTTTAGTCGTGGTTTCGTCGTGCGTGTGTGTTTATTCATTTTATTTTCGTATCATTTATTCATCCTCTTTTTCTCCCTGTGGTATGGGTCGTGTAGCGGCAGCCACAGGCGCCAAGCAAAGCTCACAGCCTACCACAGTTTGTGGTTTTTCTTTTCGTTTAAAGCGCCTAGAGCAGATTTGGATAGGCGCTATATAAATATTTATTATCATCATTATTATTATTAAACATCCTACATCGGCAGGGCCTACTTTTCTCTCTCCAAAAAGGAAAATATTCTTTAAAATTATTACAGTTAACTGTCATTCTCCCAAAAAAATTAGCAGACTGACAATTGGGTACCCCCATTGGCACCCTCTTGGAATGAGACCATGTAATGATTTCTGTTCCTTGGTGGTTGCGAAATATGGCTTTATTTTGAGTATATCAATTCGGGCTACAAATGTGTATCATACAGTCTGATAGAATGATATAGGGTTTCAGTCAATGCTATGGTATCATATGACATATAGCATGACATCCTCCTTTTCGTAAAAACAACAACATATATATATATATAGATGTACATGCAACGAAAACAATAGTAACAATGACTATATATTAGCTGTCCATGCATACAACTGATGTTGCGATTATGTGCTATTCTTGAACAGTTCTTTTGAAAATTATACATATCGTTCTGGTGGTTTCACGACCCTGCCACTGCGTGTTGTAATCATTCCATTATGTGGTGCTGGATTAGACACTTCTGTTCCAGGAGATTCTGCAGGCGGGCTTTGATGTCCTATGGGGGATGGCAGTGCTTCTCTGATGTGTGTTCTGTTCCGACGTAGCTCTCCACCCTTTAAAGTAGTGACTGTATATGATCTTGGTTGGTCCAACTTTTCCTTGACTGTGGCCGGTCCCCATTTCTTTGTAGAGGGGTCTTGAATATTGATGTTCTGCCCTGGCAGAAGATCCGGGATTGTCTTGGTGTTCCGGTCATAGTAGTGCTTTTGCAGCTCCTGTCGTTTCTTTAATCTCTCTATGATCTCTTCGTTGTTCTGGTTCCTAGTTATCGAGCGCGGTAGATTGTCTTGGAGCTTCCTGCCAAGGAGTAGTTCAGAGGGTGATGGCAACTTACTGTCGATTGGAGTGGACCGAAGACAGAGTAGAGCCATGTAGGGGTCTTCTTTGGTTCTTGCGGTCTTGTGCAGGACTGCCTTAACCGTCTTGACTTGGTTTTCTATGAAACCGTTACTCTGGGGGTAGTGAGGAGAACTGG